GTAGATCTGCTGACTTTGAAGCTGCTGCCTCTCAGCAGGGACTGGCCTGTCTGCTGCTGCAGCCAGACTGGGCCTATTGTTCTGGGGAGATTCCAGGTTGTGCCTGGTAAGAGTATGAGGGAGCACGCGAAGCACAGTGACTTTTCTCTGGGAAGTCGCTGCTGCAGGGTGGAGCTTTTCCTTCAGAAGAGCCATGTCAGAAACTACCCTGAGCTGGGTGGAACCCAAGCCTGCATTCTGAGCACTGCCTGTCTTAACATCTACCCTAATTTAGAGCGATGCCTAATTTAATGCTATCCTTTTCTGAAGCTTGAAGTAAAATGGGCCTTTTTGGAAAGAATAAATACTCCCATTAAAACATCCCTGTGTGCCCTGCTTCCTCAGTGGTCAGTCCCACCCTTAACTGGTGGTGGGATTCAGACACACACAACTACAAACAGCAACAGATCCATGGGCAACACCAACTCATTAAGAGGCCAGCAGAGGTGTCTGACAGGTTGTGTGCTGGGCTCACACCCAGCCCCATCATTTCTAATCTGCATGTCGGCTGCCACTCTAGGAGAACAATCAGAATTAACCACATTCTTGGGCTTTTAAGGGCTGGCTCTATGTGCCTGTAATACCACCGCAGGTACCCTGGATGACACACAGGCTCTCACAGACCAGCTCACTGACACACTGCCTTCTGCCCTCCTGTCTACGCAGTCTTTAGAACCAAGGACTTGTTTCCACACCAGCCTGGCCTTCTTCACCCCGTCCTTGTTGGGTCTGTGTGTCCTCTCACCTGATAGTGGACCATGGCCTCCACATAACTCTCTCTGGCCAACAGTCTTGCCTTGTTTGTTATTTCACCCAGCAGTTTTTCAACGTTCTCGTTTTTCTCAGGCACCATGTGAGGATCTTATGATACAAGGTGAACTAGACAGACAAGGCTCGGCCTGTGTCAGATATGCAGTGGGATTGGGCAGGGGAAACACCAATGAAGGAAGGCAAGCGAATGGCCGGCAGGCATTGTGAAGATAAGACAACAGGGCTGCTGGGTTTGGAGGGGAAGCCAGGGGTCTGGTTTGTTTTTTTTTTTTTTTTTAAAGAACTCTCCTGCTTTAATCTTTTCAAACACTGCTCAGTCCACACACAAAACAGCCTGTGGGTCAAACCTTGTCTGTGGACTCCTGACAACACATGTGGTAAAAATGGTGGGGACTGACTTTTTCACAAGAAGGGCTGACCTTACGTGTCCACATTGCCCCTCAACCTTTGGGAGAGCTTCTGGCTGAGGTTCTGGCTTGCCACCTCCATTCTCATTGTGATAGTAGTCACCCAGAGCTGAGCACTAGGATTCTAGGCTGAGGCAGAAGGATCACAAGTTTAAGGACAACCTGGCTTATAAAATGTGAGCCTGTCTTAAAAACAAAATCAGAAACACAAAAAGCCTCCAGAAACAGCAGGCTCCTTTGAAAATGCAGACTTCACCATGACAGATAGACTAGTCCATAATACCAGCGCATTAATGTTCTCTTTGTTGGAGGTAATAATGATGTTTGGCTACACAGAAGCATGTCCTAATTTTCTATACTTATATGCTAAGTATTTAAGAATGAAGAATCAAGTGGCTATAATTGTTCATTATTTACTTTATTGTCCTGTTTTTATATAGAGTCTCATGTAGGACAGGCATTCCTCAAACTTGCTGCATAGCTGAGGCTAGCCTTGAACTCCTGATTCTTCTGCTTTCACCTCCCAAATGATGAAATTATAGGAATACACCACCACATCCAGCTATGGCTATGTTAGCATGGGCTAGGGATGTAGCTCAGAGGTAGAGCACTTTGCTAGCGTGCATGAGGCCCTGGCTTTAATTCCTCCGCAATGCATTGTAAAAGGGCCAAAATGAGGAAGCCGCTGTTTCATTAGATGAGAGTTACTGGGGATACCTGAGACACTTTCGTAGTAAAGTAAAGGCATCAGTGTTTACAGAGAGAACTGTATGACCGTCCCAAGTTGTGGGTATGCACTCTCCCATGACACACACACTCACTCTCTCTCTCTCTCTCTCTCTCTCTCTCTCTCTCTCTCTCTCTCTCTCTATGTGTGTGTGTGTGTGTGTGTGTGTGTGTGTGTGTGTGTGTTTGCATATATATGCAGGCTGAGGGCCAGAGTAAGAGCTGTTGGTAGCAGCTCATGGGTCTAGGCAGCTCATGGGTCTAAATCAAAGGTCAGACAGTCTACCTTGGTAGTGAGGTGATCAGCATCCCTCTGTCCTCACAGAAAGTTCTGTGAACTGAGTGCCGGGGCCTGTCAGTGAGAGAACACCAAAAGGATTTTCCAGTGAAGGTTGAGGATTATCTCCTGAGCTGAGGGGTCTGAAATTGCTCCTTGAAGACCTGAGTCCCTGCTTATCTGCTGCCTAGTTTAGGTCCTTGAGCTACTTCTCTTCATCCAAACCTGTCAGCAGTCTTGGTGTTCTTGTAATGAGGCAGCTTGTGGGGAACGTGGGCACAGGGAAGACTTGAAATGCTCACTCTGAACAGCTTGGGTTTAAACTGTTTGTCAGGAGCTAGGGAACTAGCTAGTTCATTCTGTAAAGTAATATCAGATAAAAGAAAAATATCTTAGCACGCTTCATTTAAAAAGGAAAAAAGCTAAGTATGATGGCACAAGCTTGTAAACCCATCACTAAGGAGGCAGAGCAAGGAGGATCCTTGACACTCCCTGGACAGCTAGCCAGCCTACTCAGTAAGCCATTAGAGAAAAGCTCTGTCACAAAAGCATGGTAGACAGTTTGTCTGGAGGGATGACACCCAAGATTGTCTGTAGTCTTCTAGTCTCCACAAACATGTATACATCACACACACACACACACACACACACACACACACACACTTGAGAGCAAGCAGTTAGACAATGGTTGCCACTCAGTTGGATTTAATTTTAATCAAGATAGTGTGAGTTCCCAGGTACTGGCTCTCAAGGTGAACGAGTGCTAGGAAAGCGTTGGGAGTTCCTCCAGGTGAAACCCCCATCTGCCAGGTCACTATAGGACCTGGATGAAAGCATTGCTCAGGTGATAGCTGATGGATAGGGGGTGTCCTCTGGCCTCCCTTTGGGGCACTTACCTTCCTTAGCTCTGTGGCTCAGCAAAGCTACTTGTGCACCACAAAGGACCATCTCTGGTTCTTGTGGTATGGTGTTGAGTAGCTTATCCAAGCCCAGAACACTTTGCAGTCCCTTCCAGGGCTCCTGTCTCATCTTGCTGCAGAGCCTTTCAAGGATTGCCTTAGGGGTTTCTCATGCAAATAAAAACCCAGGCCTGAGGAGGTCCATTCACCCTCCCCTGAGCCATCGAGGCTCTCAGAAATGAACATCTAATCACCTAATGTGGAGCGTACGGAGCAGAGTTAGCACCGGACCCAGTGAGCACAGGTCAAGGGGCTCTGGCTTGTGCTGGAAGATCCTTTCTGTCTTGATCCCTCCAGGCTGTGGAGATTTAGGCCTGGGGTAGTGCTGGCTATGCCCTTCCAGCCCACAGCACTAGGATTGTACACTGAGGCAACTCATAGACAAGAAAGACCTTGCTGCCTTTGTGGTGGCCCAAGGGAAGCCCTGCTAGTAGATTCTCCCTGGTTCTTCCTCCCACACAGTTCCTGGAGGAGACTTCCCAGAGCATACACATGGAACTGTAAAACTGAAGTCTCAGAAAAACCACAGTAATGTCTGTAGCTAAGTGTGTCCAGTACTGCAGAGCCCTACTTTCTAGGAGGGATAGACTTAGGAAAATAAGCCAGTCTTCTGACACCAGACCAGTCTTCTGTCACTCATGCTTACCCCAGGCTCTTTGGGAGTTCTCTGCTGGCGAACAGAGCACTAGGAGGCTTGTCTAGGTACCATCCAATACAAGGCCCCAGTGGGCAGAGTATACCTAAGCCCCTGATGAAATGGGCTCTTCTGGCTCAGGGGGAGCAGAGAAGAATCCTCAATCTGTGGTTCAGTGCAAGGGTGGAGCTCTGCTGTAGGCAACACTTTCCATAGTTGCTGCGTGTGATCCACCAGACAGGCTATGAGTCCTTGCCTCTCCTCAGCCTTCTCTCTACATCAAGCCACCACTTGCCCAGGAAGGTCTCTGCTGGCATCCATACTGCCCACATTTCTGTGTCATAAGCCAGGACCCACCTGGGCAGGAGTAGAGGTAGGTAGGGACTCTAAAGGGGAGGGAGGCATCAGATCATCCCACAGTTCCAAGCAGAGGTGCAATGGCTGGGGCTGCCGTCTGGGGAGCTTGCCCTCCCTGCAGAGGCCAGGCAGACAGAGGAAGGAGTAAGCCGGAGTGAGGAGTGTGGAGCTTTGAACTCCCAGTGCACAACCAGGGTGTGACTGTGACTTGGACACTGTGCCCACCTTCTGGGCTGTGCCACACAGCTCTAGCCACATGTTGAACCTTTTATAATCAGTGACAATTTGTAAGGATAAATAAGCATGCACTCCAGAGGACAGCAGTGTCGCTAACAACCTTGTATGCCTGTGTGGTTACTAGATGAATTTATGCTTTTTTTGTGAGCTCCATCAGAGCCAGTGCAATAATGGTTTGTGTTTATTGCTCTGTCCCTGGTCTCTGATGCTGCATTTGGACTATTGTCATACCCAAGAAATAACAACCACACCTGGTGACTCATTCATTCACTCAGTCAGTTGTAGAAGCACACTGTATACAGGTATTGGGCCGCCTTTCCTATGTTTAATAAAAATACTGTCCCAGGCGTCTTTCCCATAGCACATGTGAAGCCATGCAGATAGTTTGTGCATAGGCGTGCCCCTTGGCTGGTGCTTTGATTGATGCCCACTCCTCCTTGGGCAGTGATGGACAGAGATGGAACAGAGCCTTGCACATAGCAAGCCAGCATACCACTCTGCCAGTGTCACCTGATGGGCGCATGTTGGACAAGATCCTCTCTGAGCTTAGGAAGCAAGTATACTGAGTGTACACCTTCTACCTGTGTTCCTAGGATGCCAAGTTTGTGGAAGAGCGACGAAAGCAACTCCAGAGTTACCTACGCAGTGTTGTGAACAAAGTCATCCAGATGGTGCCTGAGTTTGCTGCCAGCCCCAAGAAGGAGACCCTGGTACAACTGGTGCCCTTCTTTGTGTGAGTACCTGTCCAGAGCATGCTCCTGGACACTAAGCTCTGTTACTGTTAATATTTAATAAATGGGGCTGTGGTGGTTCTGCCTAACCACCATGTTCTGTGACCTGAAGCCAAATGCTCCACAGCTGGAAGTGGCCAGAGGCCACGGGCACTCCACAGCTAGAAATGGCCAGCCAGAAACACTGGCCATGGCACCCATGAGACACCAACGTGGGAGATGGCTCCGCCAATCTTCCATGCTGTCTCCACAAGGCTGGGCTGAGCCCAGACCATCCCGCCATCGTTACGAAACCCGATAGAAATGAGACTCTAATGTTTAAAGATTATCCAATAGCTTTATATATTTGGTGATGGTCAAATAACAAGAAGCCCACACACTTAGAGGTGTGTCCCAATACCCAACCTAGCTATTACACCTACCTTAGACTGCTGTAATTTATAGCATGGAAAAACAAAGGTCAGAGAGGAGACATGGTTTAAATTTTTTTTTATTACATGCTTTTACTTGTGTATGCATGTGTGTTGTGTGCCACAGCTCATATATGGAAGGCCGAGGACAACTTGCAGGAGTTTTCTCCCTCTACCATCTGGGTCCTAGGGGTTCAGCTCAGGTCATCAGGCTTAGGAGCATGTGACCACACTTGAGGAAGGCCACATCACATCATGAAGAACACTAGCTCATCTCTCAGGCAGCTCCAGCCTGGGTATCTGTTGAGAATTAGCCTTTCCCTCTGAGCCCCAGCACTTTGAGCTTTGTAAGGGAGTTCCAGGCTAGGCCCAGAAGGATGATAAGGAATCTGAGAGAAGGAAAGTCCCCAAGGACACCAGGGTCCTCAGCTGGCTCCAGCAGTCCAGCCATTTCGGACAAGCATGCATTCCTACATGCTGGGCTGCTGGATTGTGACAGCTGTATGTCAGTGTGTCCAGCAGGGACTGCAGGTCCAGTGATTAGTGCCAATCAGAGATGAGAGAGAAATTGTCTATTCCTGATTAGCACACAGAACACGGGGGGTGGGGGGCAGTTTTGTGGATTTAAAGAACAAAGGAATTTCAGCAGATTTGGGGAAGTGGAGTTTTGAGTAAACACTAGGCTAGACTCTGGTCAACCCTGAATAGCCTTATCCCTTTGGCTTTCTTTGAAATTGCAAATTAAGCTACCTCTCCCTGTCTTGTGAGTAAGGTGAGACTGCAGGGTGAAAGCTAACAGGTTGTTCTTATTTTGGTGTTCAGAGAGGTGATATGCAGCCAAGTCTTGCACATGTTGGCAGGGATCCCCAAGATGTTTTCTCTCTTTGTTGCTTATAGAAGACCATGAGCCTAGCATCCTTAATGAAGAGCCTAGCCAGAGAGTTCCAGTTACACACACACACACACACACACACACACAGAGAGAGAGAAAGAGAGAGAGAGATCCAGTTATACACGTACACACACAGAGAGTTCCAATTACACACACACACACACACACACACAGAGTTCCAGTTATACACGTACACAGAGAGAGAGAGATTCCAGTTACACACACACACACACACACACATATACAGACACACTACACAGACATACACAGACAGATTGTGTGCACACAAATGCACAGAAACACAGAAGCAGGCACATATGCACACAGACACACATAAATACACATATGCAGATTTTTCAACTAAAGAAATAAATCCCTTAAAGCATCATGTTAATAAATCCCTGCAGCTTGCTCCTTGGTTTTTTCCAGACACTGACTCGGGATCTTAAAGGTTCTGTCTAGTGAGTGAATGTCCAGGCATGCGATTCCTAAGACAGTTTCATGGTGAGCTGGGCCAGCCCCATGCTGCACCTGCCTTATTGTCCTCTAGGCTCTCACTGGGTGGCTGCTGTGCTTGTTTTACTGGTGGAACTGTGTGAAGGTGCCATTAAAATACCAACCCCACAAGGATTTGTAACAGTTCAAGATTATAGCAATGTGATTGCATATGTAAACTATTTTATAACATGGAAAACAAAGGCCAGAGAGGAGACATGGCTGATCTCAGGGTACCTCCCAGCATATGGGAAGCCTGGGCAGGATGGTGCCCTCACCTAGGTTGGGGACATAGTTGGGAAACTTACAGCCCATGGACAGACCTAATCCCTCTGCTTTCAATGTGAGGAGACAGTAGAGTTTTCTCATCTGTTTTTAGGTGAAGCAGTTGCCATTGTAAAACAACTAAATGCATCAGATTAAGACATTGAAATGCCAGGCTTCTCTTGAACATAAGATTGATCTTGCCCTGTCCCCACTATACAAAACTCAGCTTTGGGCACTGGTAACTCTATGACCCTAGATCCTCGTCTCTTAAGATGCCAACCCAGCGTCCCTGCCACACACGTGGTTCTCTGGCTGGTTTTTCACATGCTCACAGTCTCACACTCACAGGGCCTGCCAAGCTCTGCAGAGACTCAAAGCTATGGCCCTGGATCATGAGCACTCTTCTAAGAGCCCTTCCACATAGGTGATGGACTTGAGATACTCTGTCCCCCATGCTTTTGTATCTGCTTGTGCCGTGTGCCTGTCCATATGTTCTGTGAGCCAGACTCGGTTTGCTTCCTGTTCCAGTAGCCTGCACTACCTGGAGATGGGGCAGGGATCAGGGCCAATCAGAGCTTCTGAGAGGACCTGGCTGGTAAATTTCCTCCTGAATGTACCTTTAAGTTAAGGGTTTTGCAGTCTTGAGTCTGGTGTTAGATGGAGCCTGCTGCCACACAGTTGTCAATGTCATTATGTTTGGGAGGATAGCATGGCTTTTGAGTAGCCTGCTATCCCCACAGATCTGAGAATGGAGAATCAGCAGGTCGCGTGTGCCCATTTTTGGCCTGTTTCCTTCCTTGACAACAAAGCCTGCATCACCCACTGCTGAGGCCAAAAGTAGGACAATGGGAAGTGGGCATTTCTTCTCAATTTTGGCTTCTGTGCCAGTGTGGCACATGGGAGTGTTAGAGGTCCCCCATCTTCAGATAGGGAGCAGAAAGATAGCAGCTCTCACTGACCACGGAGAAGCCCCACATTGTCTGTGCTCTCCTGGTGCTTTTGAGAAAGGAGGATCCCAAGGAATTCGAGCTGAGCAGAGGTTTGCTCAGACCCCTAGGGAAAAGGCGGTGCCATGAAGGAAGGGAGCCTGACTTCGAGAGTTCTCTGAGGAAATGGAGGGCACATGACACGACTTCAGTGACTTGCTAGGCTGTCACTTAACATATTATCATTAAAATGTTTCTTTGCGGTGTAACTCATCCCTCGGAAGCTGCCATCCCCCTGGGAGGGACAGATGGGGGGAGACAGAATAAAGTAGGGTCTCAGCACAGACCCCCACGCGGAGGTTCAGCAGAAGTGTGGGCCGTGTTTCTCCACGCACTGTCGCTTTTACTCCAAACGTTGTTAAATATAGATTCTGCTGAGATGAGAAGACCCATGTTCTCTCGGAGAGCAATTAAGTTTAGCCCAGGGTCGCAGTGGGCTGCCGTGTGCTCTGCCGGGGCCCACTTGAGCCCACATGGAGGCCTTTTTTCTTCAGAAGGTGTTACTGACTCGAACAACTCAGAACTTTTTATCTTGAATCGTCATGGTGGATCATCAAGAGCCCTCTAGGCTCCACAGTGCTCATTACTTCAGAGTCGTCCAGGGCATCACTGATCCACAAGCTCCATGGCCCCAAGTGGAGAGGGTTTAAAAATAAGTGCAACTGTATTGGCATTGGGGTGGCATTTGGCACATGGCTTGCTTTGCTGGACTCTGTCCTTGTACAGCACTCCAGCCTCCATTGTCTGCCCAGGTAGCTCCTGTCTGACCCAGGGCAGGGGCCAGCCTCTGTCCTTAGATCTCTAGTCAGGAGGCACTGGGCAACGCCCGAGGTTGTTAGCCTTGTACTAGCCCTCCTGGGCCCTGGGAAAGCGTGGCTCATATTTCTCTCCTTTCCTCCTCTCAGTTTTCAGTCCTCCCCGTTTGCTCGTTCTGTCTTTGCAGATGCTGAGTGAGGTGGCAAACAAAGAGGTATGCTTGCAAATACTGTAAACACTGGTGTGTTCATCTGCATAGGATGTATCACAGGAGCTGTAAGAAAGCACACTCTAGAAGCATGAATCTGTGTGCTTCTTGCCTCCCTAGGATGTAGGCATGGCACACATGACTGCAGCAGTGTGGGTGGTATTGGCTGGAGTCCTCTCTGCCTGAGGAATTCTCTCTAGGCTGTTGCTATGTCAGGCAAGCCCAAGCTAGCCCTTTCACTGGACTGGTCACTATGAGTTGCTGTAATAGTGAGTGGAAAACATAGAGGATATTCTAAGAACAAGTTCTTGTTGGGGCAATCTTCAAGGCTGATTTTGGAATTGAAATCATGAAGACTCCTCTCAGGGATTTGGAGCATCCTTCTGGATACAGGTTCCCAGGATACTAGTGAGAACAGCTGTTTGGGAGTCACTGAGGTGGTGAAGATGCCCAAAGAAAGAAGGAGGAACAAAAAGCAGCAATGGCCAATGTCGGGCCCTGGGACAGGGTAGAATGTAGCACTGGCCAGGCAGAGGGGAAGCTGGGGAGAAACTTTCAGGTTGGAGGGGAGTGTTTCCAAAGTTCTCCTTTGTATGAACAAACTGTGAAACACACAGTCTTCCGAGCATCAAGACTAGCAAGCTGTCCGCTCCTAGGCTGCCAAATTGGCAGAGGTCCCACAGAGCAGGTGGCATGGCATAACTGGGTGGCATCCCTGCCACCTATCAATGTAAGAGTGTCCTGAGTCAGCCATCAGGGTCAACATGGGGGAAGCAGGAATGTGGCAAGGACTTAGGCCAGCCTGCTTTTGGGCATGGCCTTTCCCTTCTAGCAGATGTGGGAAGGCCTCACTCTGAAGTGAATAGTATATACAGACACAGGACCCTTTGGCTAGGGTGCCATGTTGCCATGTTGAAATGGTTTGAGTAGATTTATTAGATCTTGTAAAGCTATCTGCAGACCTGTGGGCTCCATGGTCAGAAATGAG